ATATTTTCCCTCGAACTTACGCCCACATGAGCATACAAGGCGTTAGCAAAGAGTAAAGCAACTTGAACATCAACAAGTTGTTCATTCACGGCGAATCCCACAGAGGAGACCCACACAATCAGATCATCAGGCGTCATAGGAGAAACAACATAATGATCCAACTTATTAGAATCAATGTCTACCACCCATATATTAATATCACAAAGTTTTTTATCATCCACATTCAACAACTCATTACCAGCAACAAGACTAACTTGTGTGTGATGTTAGTGATTGTGTTGTTGAAGCTGTACTAGGGCAAAAAAATAGAAAATAAATTTTATGTTATTTATTATGCTAGCAAGTCTTTGAATAAAGAAAAAATTAATTCAACTGCTACTAAAAACAATATTAGTTACTATAATTTCATTTGACAAATTTAGATCCTACTTGATTTGTAACAAAATTGTTGTTTATACTGATCATTCTACTATCAAGTAACTTGCTACTAAAAAGGATGCTAGACGTAGACTTATTAGGTGGAATTTACTTCTATATGAGTTAGATACTGTAATATTTGATATAAAAAGAATGGAAAATCAAATGGTTGTTCATTTGTCTAGAATTGAGGTGAAAAAACTGGTTCATTATGAAAATGAAATAAATGAGTTTTTTCTTTAAATGAACATCTATTTGAATTGAGTGAGCATGTTCCATCTTGGTATGCTGACATTATTAAATTTATTATGAATGATATTTTGCCATATGACATGTAAGCTAACCAAAGAAAGAAATTTATGCATGATGATAAGTTTTATTTTTTTATTGAGTTCTATCTATTTAAGAAGTGTAAATATTAAATCATTAGAAGATGCGCCCACTTAAAAGAGATTGAGAACATTATTAGTCATTACCATAATTTAGAATATGGAAGGAATTTTTGAGGTTTTAGAATTGATTCTAAAATCTTGCAACTAGAACTATATTGGCTTACACTTTTTTAAAATGTAAATGATGATGTGAAGAGATGTTATATGTGTTAAAGAGTAAACACTTTAACTAAAAGCGATGAAATCCCCATGAATTACATTTTGGAGGTAGAGATCTTTGATGTTTGGGGAATATATTTCATGGGCCCTTTTGTTTCTTCATAAGGAAATCAATTCATATTGATAGTTGTAGGCTATGTCTATAAGTGGATAGAGGAAGTGGTAGTCCCTATGAATGATACTCAAGTGGTGATTAAATTTCTTTTGAAATTTTTTTTTTCGATGTTTGAAACACCTAAAGTAATTATTAGTGCACGAAGCCACTTCTACAATAAGAGATTTTAGACATTAATATATAAATTTGAGATTCAACATAAAAATTACATTGCTTATCATCCCAAAACTAGTGGTAAATATGGGATTTATAATAGTGAGATAAAAAGATTTGGGAGAAAATGGTCATTCCAAATAGGAAGGATTAGGCTCTTAGGTTAGATGGAGTTCTATGGGCTTATAGGATCACTTTCAAGACACCCATAAGAATATCTCCCAATAAATTATTCTATGAAAAGTTTTCCAATTACCCCAGGAGTTAGAATATAAGGACAATTGGGAACTAAAGGAGATGAATTAAAATTTGAAGATGCAAAAGAAAAAAAAAGACTACAATGATTATTAATCATATGAGTTTAAATTGGAAACTTATGAGAATGCAAAAATTTCTTAGGAATAAATTAAGAGATGACATTATCGTAAGATGAATGAGAAGGAATTTACCCCTAGATAGGGAGTGATATAATCTATTTTAATAATGAAATTATTTCACATGAAATTGAAATCTAGTTAGTTAGGACCATTTATTGTAGTTAAGGTATATCCTTATGGTCCCATGGAGATTAATAATAGGAAAATGAGCCAATTATTTAAAGTTAATGGCTAGAACCTAAGGCTTATTTAGGAAGATGGATAGAATGCCTTAGGATAACCTTGGAATTGGCTAAACCATGAAATAAAAAGTTTGGTATAGTCAGGCCAAAGACTATACTATAAATCAAGCATCGTATAGGAGGGAACCAAGAAGTATTTTGTATGGTTGTGATTTCTGTGTGTTAGAGTGTTTGAATGTTATGTTGTTGTGTATGTGAAAAGTGCACCTTGAAAAAACCTTATTTACATGAGAACTTCGCTGTAGTGTAGTAGCATTTATCATTGAAGCATCATAATGTGTCTTTCCATATGAAGTTAAAAATTACACAACACCATACATTTCGAGCACGACAACATTGTTCTTTCTACAATAATGTAATCTGGTGGAGCACAATGACACTACATTTTATAGTGCAGGAACCCTATACTCATTTTAACTTTTGCAGTGCTGACTTGTAAAAAAATATTGATAATACAAAATCCAAGGCGCAATGTTCGAGTGTAGTCCGACCTTGCTCCCCGATAATATAATGACATTTTTGATAACAAAATTAAAATTTAAATATTGACTATTGGGTTATGTTTGATTAGAAGAGCATGACAACATTGTCTAGTGCAACTCTACGATATTACAACTTATTATAAATAGGAAGCTAAGGGAATTTAGAGTTTCATTGCAATCTACGATTCCCTAAACTCTTAGAATCATATTACTCTTTTTCTCTCAAACAAATAACACCAAGATCATTCTCTCAAAGAAGTATAACACCTCCTCCACTTTTAACTCCCAGAAGCTTATCAGTGTAGAAGCTGAGGAAAGGTATAACCTTTTAATTGTGTAGATAAATATGACCCTGAGAGGGGGTTTGTGAGTATATGTAAGATGGAGTAGAATTAATGATAGTACATAGATGGTGAGAGAGAATCACTGGGGAGGTTATAATAGTCATTGTCCCTATCAAGAATTTTTCACCTAAGTGAAGGAGGCCCCAGATAATAAAGCCCATGTTAAGGGAAATTGGTTCCTTTTGATAGTGACACCATTAACCAGATCTATGGCACTCTGATTATTTTACTTTTTATGAAAACCCCATTGATTATGATAAAATTTTGAGTTTCTTGAGTTTTCCTAATTGTAATTACAAATGGAAGAGGAATGAGGATAGCTTGATAAATTTTCCTACCTCTGCTATGACATAGGAGGCAAAGGATTGGAATGAGGATAGCTTGACAAAGGATATTACAACTTCTTTTATATTGTTTGCCTCATTCTTATTTAACTCAAAAGCTAAAAAGAAAAGATAGTAAGTAGGTAATAATTTAGTGCTTGGAAGTATAGCAAATTGGAAAATAATAAATTAATTAACCTAATAATAACTAATACTTATATTGGAGTCAATAATTCCTAATAAAGAGAAGTACTAATTCACTAAGCACCTAACTAACATTTTTTTTTTCAAAAAAAAAAAAACTAACATTTTCTAGGATTAGTTAATCAAGATATTAGGGATTTTTAAGACTTAGGCTTCGTTTGGGACGACTTTATTATTGCTATTTAAAGCAGCTTTTTTATACAAAAATTTTAATCTTTATACTAGAAAACCGCTTTAAGAAGCAGTAAGAAACCTATCCCAAACGAACCCTTACTTGATTCTTATAGAATGATGTAATGGAATCATAATAACATACAATTAATGAACTTTAGACTAAACAAGTGACTTGAAGGATTAATGGGTATTCAAATCATTAAGAGGTACTTAGTTGATAAAAGTGTTATGAGAAAAGAAAATAAAAAAAAGGAAAGAAAAAAAGAAATAGATAAAATTTAAGGCTAAAAACGGACAATCAAAAATTGGTGCCCATTTTGCTTCTTCTATCACCTTATACAATCTAAAGAAGTTCATACTTAAAGTTAATGGGTGAAAATAAGTGAGGTTAGGAAAACCAAAGTTATGTTTAGTCAAAAGAAATAAGTTCATGAAGTTCTAAAAGCCTGAATTAATTAAGACTTATTAAACTTGGTTGGAATTTACAGTTACACGCAGGAGTTGAATTAGAAGAGATATTAACAAAGGTTGTTATCAACAATTTATTTACCATCCAATTACTATTATTATATTCAAATGAACACAAATTTAGGAAATATAATATTTTAATTGTGAATTTTTTTGTGTGGAAAGTACTTAAGTTGTTTTTATGCAGAAAATTTTCAATAAGGAGGTCAATGCCACATAGGTAAACGACGTAGCCCTTTGGGGAAAAATTAGGGTTAAATAGAGAGCTTAGCGCTACAGTTCTGCACATCCGGCGATGTAGCAATGGATCCTAGCATCACAACACAAGTACTTCCAATTTTGTAGTGCTCTAAGAGGAAACTTCAAGGATCAAGACAAAAAGCTTGGTGATACAATACCTTATCGGTCAGTACCATAGCACCAGGAATAACGTCGCAATGCCAAATCACCTCTACGATGGTGTTTTGATAGTTATTAGTTATAATCCAAAGAGAAACAATGATTCACAGAGAGCACCGTAATGCTATCAAACTAGTGCCATAGTCATATTGGGCCCGATTGATCAAATTTTTGTTGTTTTGTAGTAAGTATAAATAACACATTTCATTTGAGAGTGAGAGACTTTGAATGGGTTTCCCGGGAAAACCTATGGAAAGAGTTGGGAGGATTTCCTCCCTATTTTCTTTATAACTATTTAGGACAATTTAATTCTTATCAGAAATTATCCTAAAATATTACTTTCAAAAATAGTAAAAACGCTATCCCAAACGAAGCCTAAATCTCTATCATATGATCACCAATACTGCTCTTGCATGACCGTGACCCAATATGAAAATCGGACAAAAATCCAGCAAAATTTTCATGATTAGGATTCACCGCAAATGGCTCGGAAAAAGTCGGGTAATTTCAATATCTTTACATAGATATAAATTGTAATTATGCCCATCTTGCTTGGGTTGACACTAAATTGACCATTTGAGTTAGCTCATTTGTTGGGTTGGCCCCATATCAAACGCTTGAATTTGAATGGACACCCTTACCCTTGTAAATCATTATATATGCACAATTGATACTACAAAAATGTCAAACATACAAACCAACAAATAATAACAGGAAATATTTAACAGCCCATATTATATAAGCAATGATATATTTATATGTTACCATTGTCGTGTGTATATTTGTATGACGCAACATTATTAGTACTCAAACCAAGATGAATAAGCGGCTCCGTGCATGCATTGTCCATTCAAGCTAAAAAAAAACCGTTGAACTCCCATGAAATTCCAGGGAACTCTTGGGACCTGCATCCAATCTCCTTACAAGCTTTCAAGGAGAAACAATGATTTCTTGGCTTGGCAAACTTTTACAAGCTCCCCATCGCATGCCAGGTTCTTCAGTTTTTCTATATGACAAATGCAAATATAAACGAACCAAGGAATTCTAAGAAACAAATTCACAGCATATCAATATAAATAATGAATCTGTAATACATCATCAGAATCACATGAAACCAAGTTATTATATTCATTACTTCAGAATATGTTTATGTCTTATAGCTGCTTTTTGATTGAAAGTCAATGATAAAATTTGTACTTAGTTTGGGATAGCTTTCTTAAGATTTATCAAAATAGTTTTTTAATACAAAAAATTTCTAGTTTAAGAAATTTTTGTATTAAAAAACTGTTTTAAAAGATAGTAAGAAAACCATCCCAAACGGAAGCCTTAGCTAGGGAGCATAAGATGAATAAAATGATGGTTCTTCCCTCAACATCATTAGAAAAATATATTTCAAGAACTTAATAGCTCTGCTCGAAAATCAACTCGAAAATGATCACTTTTGAGTCGAATAAAATTTAGCTCAAATTGATGTCTAAGTCTTCAATTTTGAGATTTGGACAACTCAGTTAAACTTCTTCGATATACCAGTATCCTGGAGAAAAGCTTTGCTCTTTACAAATTTACAATGACTAGGCAAAATGGATCAGCCTACAGAAACCAACCGGGTCTAACAATATGTGCTAGTGGACCCTAATCGGATCATTTAAGAAAGCATTTCATAGTCATCCCACTGCCAAATTTCTACCATAATGATACTTCAATTTTTTTCAATATTTACGTCAGTACCATACCAATAATATCGTTAAAATGAATAAGCCATGTAAAAAGTAAAAACAGCTCTATGGACGGCCTTTTTCACTAAAAAAGTAAATAAATAATGAAAGGAAGAATCAATTGACCCCTCCTCCTCTCTATCTTTCAAGAGGCACACAAAGAAGTACAGAAATTTTAAAATTCTAAGACATTCAACTTACTCTATTATCAGCATCCTAAAGACTGGCACCAATTAAGGAACGAGATTCTTGCTGCTTTAAACTCTCAGCAACATGAGCAATAACACCAGCACCAGCATTGTGAAGCCATTCACTCTTCACCTGAACCACAGGAGCCAGAATCATAAGATACACAAACTCAAGCAAACAAAGTCTCTAATCTTATCATCAAGCAGAAAGATTCATTATACATGGATGTTATTATGAGCGAAGAAGGGCCAACATGTTGAGTGGAAACTGACATCAACTTTCTTCCATCCTATCCTTTGCAGTCCACGTATCATTTCCTCTGATATCAGTTAAAAGTATAGCTCAATTGGAGGCAATGATATGCTAAAAATAAAAATAAAAAAAGAAACACCATCTGATATCTTTCTCATCACCATTTACCTTCCATGACATCATGATATTCGGCAGTATTTTGAGTGTTTGGCACATTTTTGGCTGCCTCTTTTGCTTTAGCTGCTTCAGGAGGAAAATGAGGACCATCGGATAAGATGGCTGGACAATACTTCACATTTACGATGTGTTTGTAGCCATCCAACGATTGTAGCTGTGGCTGCATGCAATGAATAAACAATTTAATGTCATGACTTCATAAATTGCAAGACCATACTATAAAAGACTGAACCTTTCCAGTTTCCCTATTCTACCAGCTTCAGAACAAATCAAAAAGGCAGATTAAATATTAAAGACCAGACTAATTGAATAAACTTTCGACATACTATGAAACATTTTAACCACATATTAGTTGCAACGATTAGCTTTGTTTCACATGGTGACTTTTAAAACAAGTTGCTGCCTAATGCTTTGGCTAGATGCATTTTTGAAACTGATCAATTTCGATATAATCTTCTTTTCCATGCTAATTACCAAATGTTCAGTAGAATTCCTAAGATAGCGTTCGCTCATGAAAGAATAGGCACAAACCTATAGAGCTCAGATCAGTAAAGTAGCTTTACATAGTTCCTTGATTTGACACCCATTTTAGTATTTAGTAGCAATGTTCGTAACTTTTTCTACTACAGTAGTTTGTCACTATACTTTAGCACTATTATTTATTCTTTACTCTCTTTCAATCACTTTATTCTGCATGCAGTATTAGCTTTACTTGCTAGTTTTATTTTTTAGTAGCGATTTTATTTATTATGTGTTGACTTTTGTCTACTTGTTTGCAGGTGCTTGTGACCAGTAGCTATAATAGCTGGAGAGTTCATAGGTGGCTGCAGTTGTAGAGGCTGGAGCTTGCAGTTACAGTCTTTGCCAAGAGCTGAAGCTTACCATGGGTTTGGAGCTTGATAGGAGCTGGGTTTAGATAAGAAATTTTTGGAGCTTTTCTCTCTGTTTTGTGCTTTGGTTAACTTTTTTTAGGAGTTAAGTTTTAGTGTGAGTTGTACGACATCACTTAGTCAAAACATATTTAATCATGTATTTTCTTTTATTTTGCATTAATTAATTAGATTAAATTTTAATTGCTCAGCTCATTAATTTGAATTTCAAATGTATTTTAAAAGTAAGTTAAATTTTAAGTTTTAAATGTATTTTGAAATTATTTAATTATTTAAATTAAATTGATTTGCTCATTAAATTGGTTAATGTTTAATGTTATTAGATTTTGGATTAATCAATTATTCGATAAATTATCTATTTTAAAGGTTTTAATTTCAATTAAATTTTAAGATTTTGATTTTAATGAATTTTAATTCAAGTCAGATTTCTTATTTTTTATTTTAATTAAATTATCTAATTTACCTATTTAATTAGATCATTTAGATTACAAAGATTGTAAAGTTATCCCAAGTGAAAATTTATATACTCAACATCAATTATTATTTTTGAACTTTAAGATAAAGGGATAGAAAATAAAAAAATAAAGTTAAATGATAATCTAAGATTAGATGGGGGCATTTAAAGAATATTAACAAAAATATTTTAAGAATAAGTTTTTAGGTCTTAAAATTTTGTCTGTGCATGAAGATGCTAATGTTATGTAGAAAAAAGCGACTAGTGATACTAAATTATTGCAAAAGATGTATTTGGAGTATCAAAGGGAAAAGCTCCTAATAGTAAAAATAGTTGATGATGGAATCCAAATATGCAAGAAAAAATAAAAAATAAGAAGATTTATTTTAAAACTAATTTAGATGTAAAAATTCTGATAATTGAGATAGATAAAAAGAGACACGTAAAGAATTTAAGAAAGCAATATGCGATGCAAAGATCTTAATTTTTAAAAATTTATATCATAAATTTGATACTAAGGAGGGAGAAATATATATATATATATATATATATATAAAATTTAGCCAAACAAAGAGAAAGTAGAAAGGATTTAGTTCAAGTGAAGTGTATTAAGGATGAATATCAAAAAGTACTTTTGTTAGAAGATGATATTTAATAAATATGGATGAGATATTTTGCTAAATTTTTTAATGAAGATTGTGAAAATAATATTGACTTTGGTGACCTTAGCACCCTAAATGAAAATAAAGATTTTTGTTTTTATCGACATTTTAGTAAAATCGAAGTTAGAGAGATTTTAAAGAAAATGAAGTGTGAAAAAACTGTTGGACCTAATGATATCCCAATAGAGGTATGGGAAATGCTTAGGAGATGAAGGAATTTCTTGGCTTACTAAACTTTTTAACACTATTTTGAAGACTAAAAAGATATCAGATGAGTGGATAATGGGTGTGTTAATTCCTATTTTTAAGAATAAAGATGATGCACAAGATTGTGTGAATTATAGAGGAATTAAGTTAATGTGTCATACTGTAAAACTATAGAAGCGAGTTATAGAGCATAGGTTGCGGTGTAATACTAGTGTTTCTCAAAATCAATTTTGATTCATACCGGGTAGGTCTACTATGGAAGCCATACATTTATTGAGAGGTTTGATGGAGAAATATAGAGAGAATAAGGATGATCTATATATGATATTTATTGATTTAGAGAAAGCATATGATAAAGTTCCAAGAGAAGTGCTATGGAGAGTTCTTGAAAAGAAAGGAGTTAATAATGCTTATATTCAAATCATTAAAGATATGTATGCAGGAGTTATTACTTGTGTTCAAACATAAGATGGTTTGACCAAGTATTTTCCAATTTTGGTTGGATTACATCAAGGATCAGCCTTAAGCCCATATCTTTTTGCTTTAGTCATGAAAGTTCTAACTAGACATTTAAAAGAGGATGTACCTTGATGTATGCTTTTTGCAGATGATATTCTTCTTGTTGATAAGACTAGAGAGGGAGTTAAAGATATACTTGAATTATGGATATCAACCTTAGAGTCTAAAGGTTTTCACTTGAGTAGATCTAAAACTGAATATATGAAGTGTAATTTTAGTAGAAATAAACTTAGTGAGGGAATTGTGACTTTGGGCGATCACTCATTAATAAGAGTATACGTTTTAGATATCTTGGATCTACTGTTCAGAGTGATGGTGAAATAGATGGGGATATTATCAAAAATTAAGTTGAAATTCTCTTGTATTAAGCTTCATGTGGTGCCCAAGTTCTAGTTTGGCTCATGCTCCTTGTAGTTCTCTTCTGAATTCGAGTCCAAGTCCTTTGTAATCAAAGTACAAACTCTTTGCATGAGTCCATTTCCAGTTCAAGTTCTCTTGTAATCAGATTCAAGTTCACTTGTCTTCTATTGTCCGTCTGATTTGAGTTCATGGTGTTCAGATCATGATTTAATTATTTGCACTTAGATCTCTTGTCATTATTCAAATTCTAGCCCAGATCTTCATCGTTTGATTCAAGTCTAGAGCTTATGTAAGTTTCAAGTGTTCTTCTTGAGTTCAAACTCAATTCAAGTTCAAGTCTTATATTTTTCAAGTCTTCTTCGAGTTCTCTTGCATATGGTTCAAGTTTGAGTTCTTTGTCGAGTTCAAACTCTAATCCAAGTTTGAATTTAGAGTCAATGTAGCTCATATCACATTCGAGTCCAAATCAAGTTTCAAATTATTTAAATTGAGTTTGAGTTTATTTAAGTTCATTTTGTTCAAGTCCGAGTTCACAAGTCCACTGTTGTTCAAATGTGTCTAAATCTTGGTTCTCTTTGAGTTCAAATAGGTCCGAGTTCGGTCGTACATTCACCCGAAATTTCGATAGCCTCCCGGCGTCTCCCCCGTTTAGGGGAAAACTGAGCCTCCCGCCACGTTAGAGAAAAGTGTGTACGGTAGGTGCCCTCTTACGAGGGCACCGCAGCCGTGTAAAGTCTTTGTCCCCACCACGCCAAAGAAAGACGTGTATGGGTCTTCGGTACATGTTGCAAGAAAAGCAGTTGTTTCCCCGCGAGCGGGTACTTATGAATATCCTGGTCTCACCGTAGGTGCCACACCAGGTTCCCATCCCACCACGCTAGAGAAAAGCGTGTATAGGCGGTTTTCCGGTGCGCCACAAACGCCGAGAACAAGATTTTGGAGCCGAGGGGGTCGCTCACTTACCTCATCGTAGGTATCGCGCTAGGTTTCCTTCCCACCACGCTAGAGAAAAGCGTGTATGGGCGATTTGATTAGTTATAATTAATAATTAATTATAAACACAAGAAATAATAATTAATTATAATTAACAATACTTAATTATAATTAATCATTAAGTATAATAAATAATAAAAATAAAATAAAATAAAATAAAATATACCTAAAATTTAGTGGCTTGCAGCTAGGAGCAAAATCGGGTAGAGAGGGAAGAGTAAGCAAGGGAGATCGGGCTTGATCTGGTTGTTGGGTTTCAGGTATATGGGGATCGGACAAGGAGGGGACTTCGGTATAAGGGATTCGGCCAGGAGCTGTGGTCGGACAAAGGGGCGAATGCAGCTGTGGAGCTTCGGTTTGATGAGAGGGAGAGAAGTCGGGGCTCTTGCGTGAGAAGGGGGAGCTCGGCGTCGGATAGAGGTAAGAAGCTTCTCTCTCTCTCCCTCTCTCAGCTTGGGAAGACCGAGAGGTCGGGCAATAGAAATGATCGGAGGGGTTCGTCTGGAGTGCGAATGGAGGAAGATCGATAGTGGAGATGGGGTCGACGGGAGCAGGTGATGGGTTGGGGAGCTCCTGCGATCGAGTGGGGGAGAGCTTGGAGGGATTCGATTGTGGGAGTATCGTGGTAGAGAGCAGCGAGAGGTATCAGGAGAGCCCAGACCTTCGGCTTCGTTCGTTTGGTATTTAACGACGAGAAAGGCGTCTAGTTGGCACGCGGTTTGGGCAGATTTTCTGGGAAGAGACGGGAGCGGCGCCAAATCGGCGTGATTTGCAGCAGAATTCTGGGATCCGACGGGTAAGATGTTTGTACACTAGATTTCTTCATTCTTTCCTTTTGTTCTTTGTATATTGGTGAACAGACCTAAAAAGACATGGTTAGAAAAATATAAGAAATTATATTTCTTTATTAGATTTAAATGAGAATTTGACTTTTAACATGACACAATGGAGAAAAATGATTCATGTAGCCAACCCCATGTAGTGGGACAAATGCTTAATGTTGTTGTAACCATTTAATTAATCTTAAGAATTTATTTTTGGATTGCAGTTTTAATCAAATTTTAAAATTGTTAAA